TCTTGGAGCTTGCCTTGGGCATGGAAAGCACTGAGATAAGATCCTCATGTCTGGCAAGCTTCCTCCGCCGGGTACTCTGGCGACTGATAATGGTCGAAGTTTCCGGGTTCAAGTACGAGCCTACTTCTGATGCAGGTGCTCCGGGACCAGTGCCTGCTTCCTCGGAGATGGTTGTGATTGTGTCAGAAGCCGGTACCTGCGAGGATCGCGCTGACTGCGAAGCAATGGTTGAAAGGCGCTTGCCAGTCGAAGGGAACATACGCGGTCCGAGAAGTTGTCGCGGTCGCAGAGGCTTAGGCATGGCGTCAAGTACAGGCGCATCAGCAAAAGAAGAAGGGGCGGACGAAGCAGTGTCCAAGTCGGTGATATCATCCTTGGGTATGTCGTCTATCGACGTGGTCTCGCGGAGAGGAGAGGACATGGATCGGCCTTTGGTGGGAGAATACTGGCCGCGCTTTGCACCGCGGCGCTTTAGCGAGGGCGTTGGAGTGACGGACACTTCACTTTCCTGGTCTTGAGTTGTCGTCTCTGTCGTAGTATCCGAGACGACAGTAGATGGGGTCTCGTCGATATCCTGGGTATTGATGGTCATCTCGCGGCTCGACCGTCTTCTGCGCCGTCTGCTACCGCTACCACTGCTACGGCGGCTCTCGGCAGGCTCGTCCCTTGTCGCATCAGTGGACGCGCTGACGTCTGATTTTTCGGCCTTGTAGGGCAAATCGACAGACGAGACTGACTCTTTCGATTTTCTCCTCCTTGGTGACCTCTTGCGTGGTTCATCTTGTGTCGTCCTGGTGGAGGTAGTGACCTCTGAGGCAGTGACTTCGGAAGCATCGACGTTAGCGGGCAGGTCGAGGGAGGATACGGATTCTTTGGACTTCCGCCTGCGGCGCGAGCGCGTCTTCTTGACTGGGATCTCTTGTGTGGCATCGGTGGATACTGTGATGTCTGATTTGCCGGCCTTGGAGGCGGATTCTGGGCTCGACACAGAGTCTTTGGACTTGCGCCTGCGTCGGGGTTTCGACTCTGCCAGAGGGTCGGGTGTGCTGCTGAGCCAGGCTTCTAAGCGGCTTCCCGTGGCCTTGGTGGGAGTGGTCGTCTCTGGGGCTGCTGGGATGATCAAGGGTGTTGCAGCTTCTTCCTGGGTCCTTGGGTAGGACCTGCGACTCTTCTTCCGCGAAGGCTTTGGCGCGGGTTTGGTACTCTCGTCCTCTGTGCGAGCACCGTTGCTTCTCGGTCGACGCCGGCGCCGTCTCTCTCGCAGCTCGTCGTCGCGGGGTGATGTGATGCGGCTCTCGTTGAGCGATGGGGCAGAGCTCTCTGCGTACTCGACCGTGACCATATTGTGGGGGTCGTCGCTCTGTACTGAACCGGACCGGCGTCCTGGGGGCCGAGTCCACGGCGTGAAGGGCATAAGATCCTCTGCCGACATGGATGCGCGCGGTGATGTGCGCGCGCGCCGTCTGCTGCGCCGCATCCTCACCATCTCCGTCTTCTCTTTCTCGGGCTGGGGCGAGGTAGGGTCTGATGGCGTCTCATCGCTCTTGGCGGTCTTTCCACTTCCAGCCCCACTGCTGGCCGGGCGTTGTTCATTCTCTGAGCTCGACGGTTTCGATGGTCTGCGTGGCTTCGGCGGGGCTTTCTTCTGTCCTGTGCTCTTGCCTATGTACTCCGCGAGGGGCAGAAGGGGGTTTGACTGGGGCGTGACGGGGGCTATGGGCTTGAGCTCAGGGCTGGCGGGCTTCTTGGGGATGATCCTCGAGGGGCGCACCCAGGCGTTGGGGATCGTCTTTGGCTGTGGGCGGCCGGCGGCTTCTTTGGGTGGTGACATTTTGGCGCGCCAGTGCGAGTCGCTGATGACGCGCTTCTTAGGCGCTGTCGCCGTGAGCAGGTCCTCGTCGAGTTCATTGTGGGGGACAGGCGTCTTCTTCGCGCTGCCCGGGCGCTCTGGGCTGGCGCCGACCGACTTTCCGCGCTCATGTGTAGGTTTCCAGTTGGGCTTGTCGTCGTGGGGTTTCGACTTGGGCGTGGTCGCGGGCTTGGGCGAGGCGGCGGGCTTGATGGACGTCTCTGAGGCGGATGCGCCGGCGCCTTCCTTGCTCGCGGCGTCGGGGTCGACCTCCTGCTGCCAGCGCTTTATCTTGTCGCGCACGTTGGCGGGCTTGTTGATGCCAATGGCCTTGGCAAAGTCCTTGCCGTCCATGGCTGCTTGTTTGTCCGTCGCGCCCATCTTCTTGCCCGGCGTGCCATTTCTCTGCTGTCCAGCCGTGTTGTCGGGGTCACTGGGCCGGGGGGAAGCGGGCATCGAGTCCCAGTGTCATTGGAGCTGCGGGCAGGCGTCACGGGGACGGGGCGGCTTGCGACGGGCGGGTGCAAGTGTTGTGGTGTTTTGCGTGGGCGTGGCTGACGGGCCGTTTCCAGAGCTACGCCGGACCTGCCTCTGTGCGGGCGGCTGCGCGATCAGCAATTTCGACAGCGAGTGTATAGGTGAGTGTGGTGAAAGCTGTCACCCCATAAGAGGGGAACGTTGAATGTAGCGCAGGGCGAGCGAACTGCTAGAGGGACGGTGTGATGTTTGATGACCCAATAATGGCTGCGGCCCGCCAGTAAAACCGGACTGGCCAAGTCTGCCCGCACGTTCCAGTGTCGCCGACAAGCAATACGATAAGCCCATGAGCTTGTGCGGGATCAGCATAAACTTGCCATGCAGCGCCGGCATCTAGACACGCTCGAGTCCGAGTCCTTCCAGCCTCTTGTTTACACGGCGGCTGAGACATTCCCAGGTTGCTATCTCGCAGCCCAGTCACGTTGGGCTATCCCGCGGGAACATCCATGAGAGACAGGCTCGCCTACGGACCAGTGCACCACGTCGACCCACGATTCGATCAACAAACCCATGCTGCAGCTTTGCTGGCATTACTGGCATTACTGGCACTACGACTACATCGAAGATGCGCGCAACAAAGTGCGATGATATGCTCCGCGGCCTGTGATCTGACCCCGCCATCTTATTCAACAGACATCCTTGATGGTACGATGCATGGAAAACGGCAACAACAGGTTTTGTATTTGCCCGCTGCCGAATGCTTGGAGGCTATCGTACCACTCAGTGCGCTTGTTGCGGAGATTTTAATGTGGGATTATCTCATGGTTTATTTTAGCCTCCTATATCTGCTTGTTCTGACCGCAGACGGCCGCCTTGGTAAACGCCAAGACAACGTGTCTACCATACCACCTCTCAACCTTGTAGGGCCAATCTTTCAACCTCCAAACTTGCTCTCACAAAGGCCAACGACCCGAGAGGACTGTTGTAAACAATCGGTTGTCCCACATAATACTGACATATCTCGTTAGCATTGACACACTCTGCTGAACCCTTCCATTACTCACCTCATAGCTAGCCGTCGAGTTCAGACTGCATACCCCGACCGTGCCGTTCCAGCCTAGCGTCCCGTTCCCATTATGGACGACAAATGTATCGGCGATATACTCGTACGCTTTCTTCGCCACATCCACATACGCGCTTTGGCCGCCGCTGTATGAAGCGGTGCCATTCCATGCTGCATCCGTGGATAGAGCCCCCAATCTTACACCCTTGAGCAAAGAGTACACAAACATACTGCTCGCACTACTCTCCAAGTAGTTGCCTTCTTCGCCAGGTCGATCCATTAACTGCCACCACGCCCCAGTCTTTCCATCTGCGGCTGCCACGATAGCGGGCATGAGTTGTTGGAACCGAGATCCGATGTACTGACGTGCGTGGCTTGCATTCGCGGGGAGCAATTCGAGCGTATCGATGAGTGCCATACAGTACCATCCCAGACTACGTCCCCACACGTGCGGGCTGGCGCCTGTAGCGCTGTTGGCCCAGACTGCTGTGTGGCTGGCATCGTAACCGTGTACTAGGAGACCGGTTTCTTGCGAGTAGCAGCGCTGCCATAGCAGATCGAGCTGGAAGACCATGTCCTCTAGCGTATGTTCAGTCATGGACGAGTTGCCAACATCGTTTGTGTATGCGGCGAGGAACGGAGTCAGACTAAACATGCCATCCAGGTAACTCCAGTACGGGTAGACGTAATACCATAAACCACCTTGATCATTTCTGGGTTGCAAATTCACACTCTTCCTCAACGCTTCGAATGCAGTTCTGTACTTTTCATCCCCGGTTTCCTGCCATAATCGCAGTAGACCGTTTCCGCTGCTCAGACGGTCCAACGGGTATTTCGTGTCGCGCGTTGTGTTGGAGACGACAGGCACCACAGAGTCGGTGCTCCTAGTGATATAGGCGTTGAGTTCTGGGGCCAAGGAACTGTTTGCATAAGTGGAGAGGATGTCGTGGAACACCTTCTGGGTAAATCCAGCCTGCAATAGGGCAGAGGAGTCGGTCTGGCTAATCAGGATACCCTGGCTCCGGGAGATGATCGACTGGGCCATCTGAATGGAGATGGGAGGAGACGCATGATTTACGGCGTTGGGAAGAGCTGTCGCCGATAGGGCAAAAAGACACCAGTGTGCGAGGGAAGTAGTCGACAGATACATGGTTGTTTGTGTCAAGAGTTCTAGCCCACGTAAAGATGCCGGGAACTTCTCCAAGTGCTTATGTACTGCTCGGCCTGTTTGTGATGGGCGACAAGGATCGAGCTTACGACGCGAAAAATGCCGACAATAGGGTTTACACTAACATGGGTGATCGGCAATCCCGGCGTTACTTGCTAAGTTTCCGGGAACATACGTTGTAAAGGAGTTCTGAAGCTGCATCTACTTGCCATGATCTTCTATTAGCATTATCCGAGTCTATCGATCTAGGGCGTCCTGTCCAAGCCACGCCTTCAAAACTAGGGTATCAAGTACCGTGTCTGTATCCAAAATGCTTTTTCAAACCATCCCAACAATCAACCCGTAAAAATGATGTCCTTGGCCAAGTCACTCCTCCACTCCAGCGGTATTGGTGTCCTCCTCAGAGGCACTGCTTGTATGCGTCTGATGCAGGGAACACCCTTCTAGTTGCGCTTCTTGCCGATCTTCTCAACGAGCTTTGCCGCGTCGTTGACAGCCGCAAACGCGCTCCACGTGGCCATGACACTCTGATACATGAGGTATCCTGGGATCACGATCCAGAAAGCGTTCATCAGGACAAAGTATCCCCAGTAGTAGAACTGCTCAGGACGCGAGTACGACAGGTTGAGGATGTAGTGGTCGAAAAGCGAGGTAGCATAGTACAGTACGTCGCCGTAGAACTGGCCGAGCGAGACGATGAGTTGGGCCGAGTAGCGGAGCGGGTGGTCGATGGCGATGAGGTAGGCGCAGAGGAAGGAACCGGGGCCCCAGAATACCTGTGAGAATGTTGATTAGTTGCTGTCCTTCTTCGAGAGAAGCCCAAACAAGACGTATACGTACAGCGGTGACGGTCTCCATGCACAAAACGAAGGCGTCCTGGGTCAGGTAACGCGAGTCGCTGAGCGCGTACTCCTTCCACAGCTGGCCAAAGAGGTCGTTCAGTCCGCCCATATTCCTAAAGTTGTAGGCGAAGTAGCCCTCGAAGAACGAGTGGATGCAGCCGCACAGCACAAACCACATGATGGTGGAGAGGTCGCCGGTGCTGGCATTGGGGCGCAGGCGCTTGACCATCACGTACGTGACACTGAAGATGGCGACGCAGCCGGCAGCGAACATGAGCAGCAGGTCCAGCGTGCCCAGCTCGTTGGCCAGATAGCCCACAATCTCCTTCTCAATGGGGTAGTAAGGGTGCTGGCCCGGGGGCAGCGAGAAGTTGCCGGCTGCCATAGCGAAGGATGCGAATATCGAATTAGACAAAAAAATGTAATGCAAGTGGTGCAGAGGTAGAGAAGGGAAAGGAGTACAAGAGCGAGTGCGGTGTCTATGGGCGGGCTACTAGCAATGGGGGCACGGCGTGCGTCGTGGTGCCAGATGGCAGGCCGAGTGGGAAAATATTCCGGGGCAGGAGACGCCATCCAATTGGGACAGCGCTTGCGGCGCGCCCTGGCTGTCAGCGGCAGGGATAAGAAGCGCGACCGCGACTCCCCGTCGTGTCAGATGTCAGCAACTAGAGTCAGGCCGAACACGTAGACATGTGACCGTTCTGAAGTACTCCGTCGGCTGTACCGATGCCTTCGTAGTCGTTGTCTGAGGCTGTTCGTGGCTCTTCGAGACTGAGCCCTTATCGCATTCTCCCGGTACGCCAGGTACGGTACGCTCATTTCCCTAGCGCAAAGAGGCGTCCTGCCGTCTCGGATAGGCACTCCAGCCTGCACCATGCGCGCTCGAGCTCTCGTCTCTGGATAACAAGACCTTTCAAAGCAGAGGCTGTCCGTTGCGATAAGTCGCGTTGAAGCCGGAAGTGGCGCGAAAGAGCAGCAAAGATGAACATGGCTAAGCGCACGTATGCCCCAAGGTGCGTAAGGCGAGTAATGAGTAGGAGGTTCGGTAGAACGTACAGCGACAGGCGTTGCTTTAGCCTAGCTTTATCTGCTCGCGCATCCACGGCGCTGCGAAAGCGAGTTGACCACCTGGGCAGCCCTGGAGGTGTCGACGTCCCCGGGCCCCTACCCCTCAAGCTAGTCCCAATCTAGTATACCTCGGCTCCTACCCGCGCGTCCTCTATGCCCGCGATATCACAGCGTCACTCCTCAACTGTCGCATACATTACAATGTCGCAAGGAGGCTCATCTGCAGACAAAGATTGGCGGTCCGTATCGAGGCGGAAGAAAGCAGAACAGAACGAGCGCATACCAAAAGAATGGAAGTTGAATGTCTTACCAGGAGCCGACGTAAAGAGCTACATCGATATACCACGCAAGTCAGGGCTATTGACAGAAGAGGAGCTGGAGATCACCGGACGATATGATGCTGTGGCACTGGCCGAAGCAATCAGAGGGAAGAAACTCAAATGCGTCGATGTGACACGGGCTTTCTGTAAAGTAAGCCGTCCCAAATTGGAGCAGACCTCTTGGTAGCGGCTGATGGACTAACATTATGGCAGAGAGCAGCAATTGCCCACCAAGTCACCAATTGCCTCACAGAAATCTTCTTTGATGACGCGCTGAAGAGAGCCGAGGAGCTTGACGCCCATCTGGCATCAGGAAAAGCACCCCTTGGGCCACTCCACGGCGTTCCCATCTCACTGAAAGACACCTTCAGGGTCCGAGGTCATGATGCATCGATCGGCCTTGCAGCTCTCTGCTTCAAACCGGCACAAGAGAACTCGATCCTAGTCGATTGCTTACTCAACGCCGGTGCAGTTCTATATTGCAAGACCAACGTACCTCAAACGCTCATGGCACTCGACTCCCACAACAACGTCTTCGGGCGAACTATTAATCCGCTCAACACTGCTGTGACCGCTGGTGGAAGCTCAGGTGGAGAGGGCGCTCTCATCGCGATGCGCGGCTCAATCTTGGGTGTAGGCACAGATGTGGGCGGCAGCATCAGGATCCCGGCCATGTGCGATGGTATGTTCGGCATCAAGCCCAGCTGGGAACGTATCCCATACGCGGGTCAAGAGGGCGGTATGCTTCCTGGAGCAACAAAAGTTGGTATCCCAGCGAGTGCAGGGCCGCTCGCACACACCATGCGCGACATCGAACTCTTCTTCAGCGCAGTCGCATCCCAGCAGCCGTGGAATATGGATCCAGATGTCATACCATCGCCATGGAATTCTCTGTCAACTACGCGAAAGAAGCTACGGATCGGCATCGTCCGGCGAGATGGAGTCATCGAGCCACATCCACCAATCTCCAGCATCTTAGATGAAGTCAAAGCTAAACTGCAAAAGTCTGGTATCGAGGCAGTGGAGATGGACATCACTCCTCTCTTTTCTCGATGTCAATCCCTCGCCAATGCGCTTTTTGGTGTTGAAGGTGGCAACGCCATGTTCGACTTGCTGGAATCGTTCAACGAGCCACTTTCGCCATGGCTATCCACTCGACTCAAACGCAAGAAGCCGATGGATCTTCCCAAAGTTCAGCAATTTCATGGCAAGCGCGAGAAGCTGCGAAAGGAGTTTTTGAGCATCTGGAAAGATGCGCATGGCGAGATCGATGCCTTCATCTGCCCAGTCGCGCCACATCCTGTGCCGCCCATTGACCGGTACAACGGCGTCAGCTACACGAGTTCGTTTGTACTGTTAGACTACCCTGCCGGTACTGTACCAGTAAGGTCGTTTGAAGAGACAGATATGAAGGGCGAGATGGCGAGCACGGAGCCACTGGGAAGTTGGGACAAAGCAAACAGGGAGCTTTGTAAGTATTGTTATTTTCCTCGGTTCGCTGGAAGCACCGAAGCGCTCATATACTAACACGAATTGCAGGGACCAACACTGATCGTTCGGTCTACCTTGGCACGCCGCTTTGTGTACAAGTCGTCGCACCCAGATTACAAGAAGAGAAGCTGGTGCAGGCCATGTGTGCCATCGACGACGCTTTGAAGGGCTCAAACACTCTCAGCGCGAAGCTGTAGACCAAGGGTCAAAATGCCTGTACGGTGCACTGTCCACCATATATCCCTCTGTACCTCCATCCTTTGAGTCGTTCTCATCAGCTGGCGGCAGCTCAAGTCCCGTCTTCTTTCTCACCATCTCGTCCCAGTCGCCTCGTACAAAGTGACCAAATGCTTCCATGTTCCTTCCTAGCTTTTTCTCGGAGATGCGTTCGACCTTGTTGGTGTATGATAGTACCCGGAAATGGCAAGTGTCGCGGGTAAACGTCGCTGTGCGAAAGGCCACGGTGAAGCATTTGACGTGAGTCAATATCCACTTGTTCAGTAACATCTCCAGAGCGCAGCGTGCTATGTCTTCGACTGGAGGTGGCAGATCGCCATCTTCATCGGGCTCGGTCGGCGGGCATGATAGGTGGAGATACTGGAGGAGTAGTAGGTCTCGTAGAACACCAAGATCCGATATCTCTTGACAGAACTGGTCGGGGGTAATGTCCTCGGTCAAGGCGGGGAACGGGATACCAAGGCTGATGAGGTTGGTACATTGGGTAGCGATGAAATTGAGGTCTTTTGTGTGAAGTCGAAGGCTTGGGTCAGCTCCGAGATGTAGAGATGTCAATGAATGACCAATACTGGGGAGGATGGTGGCCAGGGGAAAGTGGCAGTAATCGGGCTGGTCAATCTTGCTAATGCTGCCTTCCCAGAAGCTTGGTGTGATGGTACTCTCGATGATCGGATTGGCCTTGTCGTAGATCAGGCACAGGGTCTGCAAATCGCTGCAAGACTCTATGATGGTGCACAATGCCGTCTCTTCCTCCTGCTCGATCTCACGTTCCGACTCTTTGAAGATGAGAGATGTAAGGTCGACTGATGCGCTATGGCATTGATTCAAGAAGCTGCTGACCCCTGCGCAGTCGCGAATCTTGAGTGACGTCATGGCTTTGGCGAGGAAGTGTTTCTTGACGTCGATTTGCGCAAGATCGACGTGTGTGCCGCTGAGCTCCTCGAGACATTTCAGTCTGGTTCGCCAGCCAATACCCCTGATGATCTGGATCAACGGTACTGGGTCTCCATCGCGGCCGTTATCGATGACAATCGAAAGAATCTTGTTGCCTTTGCATTCTTTTAACAACCTCCTGCAATAATGAGCAGGGGCGTCGCGATTGACCAGGATTTCCACCTCTTTGCCATTTTCTTTTCGCATCCTGAACAGCATTACCGGACTTCCAGTTGTCTCGATAAGCTTTGGTATTCGGACCAATGGATCAAACTCACTCGAGTCCTTGGAGTCGCCTGCAGCTGCCTCATTGTGGAGTTCAATGTCCTCCAACTCCTCATCGTTTTTGGGATGAAAGAAATCCCATTTCTGGAGAAGATGGGGCAATGATCCCCAAAAGAGATTCCCACGCGACTTCTCACCATCGTACCATGTTGGTATACATATGGTATCGAGATTAGGAAGATACCGCTGCAGAAGCCTTAGACAGAGGGCTTCAGTCTGCGCAGTGACACGGCTCTCATTGGTGAAAGCGAGTGTGCGAAGCTCCGGTTTCGTCCCAGGAGTATCCAGTAGAGTGTTGAGGTTCTTCATGATTCTCAACGACCTTCGGCCTGCTTCAGGCGTAACGTGCACAAGTAGATCCCGGAACTTCGCGAGGCTTCCAGCTGACAAGCCTTCGAAACGATGCGCTGTGGCAGAATCTATGCGTAGATATGGCTTTTTATAGAGATATTCCTCAAAAAGGGCAACCTCGTCATCCCATCTATTGCGGAGTGCCACGCGAAGCCGACGGGAGATGGCGTATTGGGGCAACTATAGCAGCATACGTTAGCACATCATTACACAGAAAGAGTAGCAATGCCATATCCTGATACACTTCAAGGATTATGACCTGCTCACAAGATCGCCGGCAAGATCGATGTAGTCGTCCAGGTGTATTGAGGCACAGCGATGGGAGATATGTATTACTTACGTAGTCGCAAACCATGCGTCGCAACTCCGGAGGGAGCGACTCCCAGAAGTACTTCTCCGCCTCGCTCACATCAGGTTGTGTAGTGGTTGCCATGCTGAGTGATTGTATGCTGCAATCGATACTGTGGTATAGTAGTAAAGAGGTAGAGATTGTACGGCGAGATTGGGGTGTGAATTGAATCGATCAGCTCCAGCTTCAAGAAGTTGACCGCCAAGGCCGACTTGCAAGCCAGAAACTCGTGGTGAGCGTGCATAATTGCGTCTTTGGTGAAAGTGAAAGTGAGAAGCTGCAACGTTGACAGCGCAAGTGGGAGAAGAGACGCGATCGGCCGCGCCATTCCACGGTGAAATGCCTATTTTGTCAAGTGACTCAGAAATTCTCCATCTCTCGACCTCAAACAGGCTTCTACTCTAGTCAAGTCACTAAGACTTCAGTCACTCTCAGTGAAGGGCAGGGCTGGGTAACTACGCACGGACTGACCGCCAGCTAGCGTTGCGCTGGCTCTATATAAATCCGCCCTCCCCTCCTTCTCTCCCTTTCTCAACACCGAGATTTCGCAGCTCACTCAACTCAACTACAACAAGGCCTCTTTACACACCGCTTTCATGCGTCATTCGACTGAACGAACCTTGTATGGCCTTCGGGCTAATCCTTGTGGTATCCGTTGCTGGTTTCCTGATATGTTCAGCACTGTCATTTTTTCCAGACATTACCCTGAGCGCGAGGCGGCTTTACACTTCAGTGTTCCGCACTCTAGCAAGCTCAGTACATTTGGTCCTGAGGAGCCTATATCAGCACTTGCCGGGGGTGTTGATGAATTCATTACCTGGTCGGCGCGCATACAGAAGATAGGCTTGGATGCTGGCAATGAGGAGACTAGTCTGAGCTGGCATTGGCAAGTCTGGGAAGTGTTCTTTTTCGTTGAGTTTTGCAGCTTGCTGCTGGCTTGAAGAAGGAGCGTAAATTTGCGTAGTTTACATTTCTTACGGGGTGTGGCTCATGAGTTTGACTCAGCGTCTTCATGTGACAAGTCAGAGGCCTTGGGAGGCGTGATGTCTCTCATGGGCCAATAGCGAATTCAATTTGCGCGCTGCGCTTCTAGTCTCTACGGGCAATTGAAGTGAAAGCTGAGCATATGACGCACTTGCCTTATCTGGAGCAGCTGGGCACTCGTTTGTTTCATGATTGGCCACCTACCGCATTTTCTCTTTCGCTCGCGCCTGCCAGATGACTAGACATACAACCAACCAACTACCAGTATGTCGTCTACACAACCCTTGCTTGCGCATGCGCCCGTTACTCCTCTTAATACGACTACTAGCTCCGCTGTCCCGGTCGGCGCCCTCGCAGTCATCGAATGGTGCATCTTCGATGGCCATACACACAAAGACGTCGTGGGCATGTACAACGGCGCTGGCTATGGCAGCGTCAGCACAAAATACGGTATATCGTATCAGGTGAGGAGGTGGGGCCCAGTGTGGTATCAAGAGCAAGGCGCTGTCAGACCATGGGAACTCTACACGAAAATTGAGAAGGAAGACTTCATCAAAAGAGGATTAAGCGGCGAAGACTTCAAGTTTGTCCATCCGCGAGATCTGGATGTAGTGAATGGAGTTGTACAAGTACGAGGACAGTCGCGAGGACAGAAAGAAAAGCGACAGGAAGCAGCAAGACGGAGGTCTCAGGGTAAGGTCACAAAGAAACTGGGTGCGTCTTCTACACGGTCATCGGCAACTTGACTTAGAGAAACAACATACTGATCTTTCGCCGTGTAGTCAATACCGCCCAAAGCCGCAACGCCTCCCGAATATCTTCAGCACCTCGCGCATCCAGTTCCAGCTCCCGCCCCCTTCGCACTCCCAATCAAGTACAACCCGGTCATTCACCCAATTCAACTCCGCGACCGGCTATACCTGAGCACCTCCGGATCGCGATCAAGGCCAAGCACGACGAGTGGCTGAGGGCGAATGAAAGGGGAGAGACAGAAATGGCGGATCTAGTTGAACAAAAGTTGGAAAGCCTCGAGCGACAAGCAATGAAGGTCAGCCTGCCGGGGTTCTTGGCGTGGAAGTTCGGACCAGAGCATATCGGCGCCGCGGTGAGCTGATGAGGCAGAAGGGCGAGGAATCATCTTAGGTCAAATTGCCCTATCGCCTTGTTGTAACGTAGCCAGTCGCAGCCTTCAACTTTCACTCCCTTCTTTTGGATCACAATCAGATCACACACGCCGTTATTGACTGACGCCTCTTGATATGAGCCCATGCGGTCACGAGACTTACTGAAAATGGTTTTCACCGTGTGGACTCCGCTCGTGCCTCTTACAAAGTCCGCGAGCCTAATCCTCCCGCTGCGCTTTTGTGCAATCTACTTGTACTCTTGCCTCAACCTACTATTTGCTACCAGCGACACTCCGGTGTAGGTCACGAAGCACCACAACATCTAAGCATCGCAGAAGACACGCAACAGCAAGCCGCTACATCAAACCAGCCGAAAGATTCTGCAACTGTGATCATGTCATCCATAGATATCCCTACAGAAGAGGTTGGCGCCTCAGCGCGGATGTCAACCACAGCACGGAAGCGTCGGCTGAATGAGCCCTACGTCGCCGCGGACGCTCCAGTGCTCCCTACAAATAGCGCTTCCAACACGGATGAGCCCAGCCAGCAAAATGACAACGAGGACGCGAACTCTCCGCCCAAGAAAAAGCGCAAGACGAAGTCTACCTCACTGGGTGCGCACGCCAAAGTTGCTGCGAAGGACATACCTAGCGATGAAGAGATCAAAGCCTTCATAGAGGGCCTAGCAGCTATCAAAGACTGGACTTCTCAGGTAGTTGACACCAAGTATATACAACTGGTGCAATGGTACGACGTCGAAGGCATCTCGATGAAACAGTGCGGCACCAAATGGGTAGAAGAAGGATATGCAGAAGGACGCGCAGATCCGAGAAAGCAGAAGACTGAGGTTACTGAATCAGGGATGTGGAAGCACTACAGCAGCCACGGGAGGAAGTTCCTCGAGGAGAAAGGTCTCGTGTGGGTATCTCCATCGGCGCGGAAGGCTTACAAGAAAAGAGTTGGCGTCGTCGAGCAGTCCAGAAAGACAATCCTAGAAAAGGCGGTTTCACCCAAGACAGTCTCAGATCGGTCGGAGCGCATACCATCACCTGGTATAGAAGAGGGAGAGCCGCCGACGATTGCTAGCCATACCAACGTGCTTGAGAGCAGTGAACACATGGCCGACGAACCAGTGCCCAGTATTCAGCGATACACCACACCGCGGCCGCAAGAGGAGGCCGCACGAGATCTTACGGAGGTTGCGATGCCTAAGCCAGAAGACTATCGTGTAGGCTTGCATCGTGGAGAGGATCAGGAGTTGATGTTCCTTCTCTCGAGGAAAGTGAAGGCAGAGTCGAGACCAAGCGACCTCATTTGTGACTTTGAGAAAAAAGGGAAGAGGTGAGTAAATCTATGCCAAACATGACTGGAGATGATAGAACTGACATTATACGTCTTGACAGCCCTGCCGCCGCGCAATCAAGGGAGGTAACGAGCGATCCAGAGGCCGAGGCTGCAGAGGTCGTACGCTACAAGAACAGTCGAGCAACCGAAGATGTTCTGAGCTTTAAGCGGAAGACTGGTGACGTGCGCCGCGGACATCCCACTCGACCTGTTCTGAGCCGAAAGCAAGCCATCGAGCACTGCACGTTTATAAAGGACGCCATCAAAAACGATCCGACCGTCGATACGATCGAGTACGGAGAAGACATAGATGCCGATACTCTCGCCCGCTTCGTCGCGTGCATCTCGCCCGACATCCGAGCGGCCCTGCCCACTCACGATGTTGTCGGATTGGTCAACGCGGGTCACCCGGACACACGGACTACGGAGATCCAGTGGTCCATGCGAGAACTTGAAGACCTATACGTTTTCGCCCACACGATGGGCGCACTTGCGGTGTGCGACATGATCATCGATAGAGTATATGAGGAGCTGCACCGTACCCAGCAGCGCCTGATTCGCACCATCGATGGTACGATGGAGAAATTCGGATTCCGCCGCATGAGCCCAGCGTTCATGAATCTTCTATCGGAGAATGACACGCGAGCTTTCAATTTCTTTGTCTATGCTTTGGCCATGAAGGCCGAAGATACCCTGGAATTGCTGAGAATATCCAGGCTCGATAGTTGGTACCATGAATCTAAGCAGGCGTTGATGACAAAGCTGGAAATAGATTGGGCATCGGGAGCTAGCAAAAGCGAGTCGGCAGCGATATGTCCGACATACCATCACCATTGGAGCTCAGCGACAGGCTGTTACAAGTCTGCAGTGTCCACGGCGCCCTTGATATCGAAATCCAACGCTGCGAAGCAATCGGCGCCCACGTCCCGTACGTTCCAGAAGCGACCCGAGCCCTACCAGCGCAAAGATCGTAAGAAGGAGGAAAAGGAGGAGGCCTGGGCTAAGAAGGTGGCATTCCAGAAGATCGATCGCGAGGCCAATAAAGCGCATGGGCGTGGACTGACGCAATGGGAAGCCGAGCAGGCCAGGCTTCAGAAGGTTCAGCAAGAGCTCCACGACGAAGACGAAGAGTACAATGGTTCCTCCGACTCCTCACACTCGTCAGACGACGAAGACGTCAATGTGATCGTTGTGCAACTTCCTCGGGTATACAGCAGAGCTCGCGATCTCTTCCGAAACAGCCCTGGATCATATGCTGAACCATCCGAATACACTTGGATTGCGTCCGATCTGACGCATGCGAGAGTCGCTGCCCGAAGCGGAGGTGGGCTGAACTATTCTGGCGAGGGGATGAATCTTTCCAAGGACACCGCGGAGATTCAGCGGAAGAAGGTAGCGATCGTGGAGGGCCAGCTGCAGATGTTTCGCGATAGCGGTTACGACCCTGACAATCTGCAGGGCTCAGGCCGATTGCACGCCATGTCTCAGAGGGCGAGTGAAGACGGGGAGATGATCGATGGAGACGAGAGCGACGACGAGGACTAGGATACTAGCCACGATGGAGAGGCGACGAGGGTGGTGAGCGCGAGCGCTATGATGCCTGGACTCGGTGTTTAGACTGGTAAGATTTCATATAACGAATACCTCGCACGCTAGAGCAGCAATTGCTGCGTGAGTCTTCAGGAGCTCGCTTGGTCGTGTACAGGGGAGAACGAAGGATATAATGCCCGCCGGGGCAGGAGGACGATGGCTGGTCGAGCCTGGGTTGAGTTGTTGTGAGGGCGGTGGGCCATGTCCTGGTAGTTTACGCGCATATCGTGGTAGGGTAGAGAAATCGCGTGATGTTTGTCAAGCTGCCGAGGGCTCTTTGCTTGCGAGCGCATGTCTGTCCTTCCGCGCGTGCATGAGTCAGCATTCCGGACGCGTCGGCCCCACACGTGCGCAAACGTCATCGTCCCTGGAAGCTTCGGCCCAATTCGCGTCCTCGTCTATCTGAGCCAGCTCTAGCCCCTTGTCCAGCCCTACACATTGCGACGATAGCGACCATGCTTGCCACGACAACTGCCGACCGTAACCTGAGACGTCGATAACATCCCAAGGCCACAGCGTTCTTTATACCACGAATGGTGACATCGCCTCGCAGATGCCCCGGAATATTGCCGGTGGGGCAGCTCGGCGCATCAATTTGGGAGATTGTGCCGTAAATTGTCAGTCTGGTGTCGATCACACGTCTGTGCGAGGAGCAACGGTGATACTCAAGTATGGTGCTCGCGGTATAAGTGTGCTCGCGCCTGTACGTTCGATGCCATTTCCATCTTCACGCTACCGCAGCGCCGCCACATTGACATCATCCTCAAAATGCGCTTCACAACCCTAATTTGTATCATGCTTGCACCTCTTGTAGCCCTGGCGGCTCCAGCCGAGATACATAGCAGGTCAGATATACTTGCAGCCCGCCAGGCGCGTCCCACAAAGCCAGCACCGTGCGTGCGTGTGATGAACACAACCGAAGCGCAGACAGCTACGCGTGCCGAAGCCTTCGCCCAAGCTTTTATCTACAAGAAGGACATCAGTGAGGCGTTCAAATACATAGCCAAAGACTACATTGTAAGAGGGTCACGACGTCTTCAAGAGGATCAATGACGGCTAACCACGTATAGAACCACAACCCCGCTGCACAGAACGGGTCTGACTCCGCCTGGAACATCCTCTCTCCAATCTGGAGTTCGCAGAGCATCACACCATTACGTACAGCGTTCAAGTCCCCACAAAGCTGGCTTAACTATCGCACCGGAAGTTTTGGGGAAGTCGTTGACCGTTTTCGATGGGAGGGAGGGTGTATCGCGGAGCATGTAAGTCTTACTTCTCATACTAGAAGAGAATCATCACTGACGTGGCAATCTGCAGTGGGATCAAGGCGAGAGATTCCCGCCTCAATATGTCTGAATAGGCAATCGATTGATGCATATAACCACATATGATACGAACGTATGATCGAACAGATGTAGATACGTTGAGCCCAATAAATAACGACAGCGCAAACCCTTCGCGAATGAATCCCAGATATCCCACCAGCCTAAGAAAAGATGTGTCGTACACATAATACGTCTCTCTTGCACCATCACCGCAAGACCAATCTCGTTTAACTTTGACCGCAGAACGGTTCCCTCATGCGAGTCGTTTCGCAATATATCCGATATCACAGCGCCAATCCCTTCATCGTTTCACACTCAGGCGTGATTTCTGATGCGACAACATGAGAGCTCGAGAGCTAACCAGGCCAGGTCACATCTCAGACATCGATGCTGGACTTGCCCTTGTCTTCCTTGTCATCACCCTCAGGTCGGAGCTGCTCCTCGGAAGACCTCGCGCTCTCATCGATGTAGCGCTCGGCATCAGCGTCGGCATCGAGATAGTCTTCTCCACGCAGCAAGCTGTACCGCGCTCCACCCTTGTTCGTCTCTTTGATCTGTGGGGTGCCCACCGTCAGGTCGTGGTGACAGTTGGGGCACTCATGTACCGTCGGAGTACGCAACGCAAACCACATCGCTCGAGCCTTGCAAGCAAAGAAGTAGAAGTGGACAAACCTGTCATCATGTTAGCAACCCTACTGATGACTGGCTCGGACTTTGAACAACTTACATATTGACAATCATGGGAGCTGTTGCGTATCCAGCCAAGAAGCCATATCCCGCTGACCCCAGATCGTCAACCTCGACTGCCCAGATCGGAATGAGTATTGCAAGATAGGCGATACCCGCCAATCCGTCTAGGAGAGCGAACTTGGGGCCTGGCGTACGATTGTGCCTTCGTTGGTGGACAATGCTCGCCGTTGAAGCAACCGCAGTCATGGCGAGGGGGATGTAGCCGAAGCAGAATGTAGTTACATCGCGATGGTCGTACCAATACCGGTAACTATGGGACTCCAGCGAGAGAACGGTGATGGCAATGAGGAAAGGTGTTGTGAGGGCACTGGCAAACAAATTCAGTACGCGAAGAGAACGTTCCTGCGCCATGATCATCTTGTTGGTTTGGGTAATCTGTTGGTATCTGAAAATGGAGGTGAAGACGAAAAGAGCCAGATGGCTTGGTGCAACAAAGACAAACTGAAGTCTCCAGGCCTGTTTAAGTCACATCACCGACTGGGATAGCGTCTCATTATCTCTCAGGCAACAGCGAAAAGCACATAGCCGCAAGTGCATCAGAGCCGCGTGTACACACGAGGCGCTTTTTGGCATCGTCAGCCAATCGATGTGTCGCTCCGGCACGACAACGGTACTACGCAGCAGTAGTGAGACAGCGAGATCTTTTGTTTACTCCCCCGAGTATGTGTTTTGGCCAATGAACGTTGACGTTGGGTGGCTATGCCGGCTAGCCTTGGTATAGCGCAGGTGGGCGGATTACTCGGGTCCTGTGTCAGGCTCTCCGCAGTGCATGGACGCATGCTCAAGAATAGAATGGCCTCTGAGACGTCTCAATATCTGTCTACCTACATACGGAGGTCTTTCCATGCATCGTTTCACTCTTGCTTCTACATCGATAGAGAAGGTTGCACAAGTCACGTGACGTTTACATCATCCGGGCATGCATTGCGGTCATACTAAAGCTCGTTTCCGTAATATTCATGCCTTTCTTCCAAATCGTAGAGTAGCGCCTGTTATTTATTCTGATCTTGGAGTGGGAAGCATGTCGCGTAGCCGCTTCCGCCAACGCTTGCGGCGTGTGGTTATCCAGGTAAGCAGAAATTACGTAGGTGACTAGGGAAGACCCTGAGGAAACCGTTGATTACTAAAACCCGCAAAGATCTTTGGGAAGATCCGGACCTTTGTTCTCTTCGCATGCGTGTAAGCATGCACAACCAAACTTATTTCACAACACGGCCCTTTTGGCATCACGATGCACCCGACCTCCATATCTGCTGCCAGAGTGAACTCATCGGGTCTTATCGAGGTGTACACCTACAAACCCTGCTCCAGTTATGTGCAGTACTTACAAGCCGTCGTGCGTCATTTCGGCACGCAAGACACGAGTGAGGTCTACCCAGACGCAGCTACAATATCCATGTTCCGCACTGCTTTCGCACCCCTCACGGAAGATCTAACCCGGAAGCTGAACCGTCTGCCCAGATACTCCGCATTGGTTTATCCTAGGACATTCCAACATTTTTCCCCAGCGCGCCGCCTGGATAGCGTTATTTCCTCCGCTCGATGGCGACTATTACGAAACATTCAGACGAGAGGTCAGAACAAAAGCCGCTTGTGAGAACTACGACCTATTCCAACGATTTGCAGTAAAACCCTGAGTGTTCTTCAGAATTGTCATTTATTGCCGCCATCCTTATCAGAAGATTATATTCCACGGGGGTCCTCGTAGAATTAGTTGTGAGTGGCTTGTCGCTATGGTCCTCGCGACGCCAATGGTAGCTGCCAATTCGTATCGAATTCTGCACAATTACTATAGGGTAGATGTATACATTAGCTCAGAAGGTGTTTGCTTATCAAGATTCAGTGATGTGTATGCAGCAACATGCGACACGGGTTCTGGCCACCCCGCGGTACCGAGTATTGCATCTGCGATTTGATAAACCCAATCAGCTCTACGTAATGGTCAACATACCTTCTGCCTGTGGTTACCTCCCAAAATGATAGCCGCGCACGCGCCGAATATGACGCACAACGGTGATTTCAGAGCATATATAATCGCCTAAGATCCCAAACCCCCCAAGGTCTGCAGCGTAGAAGTCATCTCTGACCACAACATCCAGCAAACACCAAACCTGACTTACGAGATGACTCAACACACAGAAACACCCATGAATATTCCCAAACCATGGGAATCTGGCCATCAGACTCATTTATACAGACTGCCTCGGCATTTATCCAGGAAGATATTGGAACTTCTACCTTTATCATCTATGGCGACGTTCGCAGTGACGAGCCACCACTCGAATACATTGGTCCGCTCCATCAAGAACCCTTTCGCCCTGATCAAGAAAGAAGGGAATGAGGCTGAGCGAGCGAGGTTCTCGGTTCTGTGCTTCGACAAGCACTATCCGGACCATATCATATGTTATTATTGCGGCTCATACCATAAGCGCAAATCACCTGGTAGTCGGGATGTTTGGGGTCAAAACGCTCCGGCCGCCTTCAAGTACGGGACTAGGACGATATGCAAACGGCGCACAACAAAGTTCGACGGTTTGGACTGGGAAACCGTCCACGAAACGATGCGCGGGTTCCGGCACTCCCCTCGGTATGGACACAATCTCCTGCGCCCTGAAGGCGTTCATCAACAGGGGTCAAAACGGTGGGGCAGTGACATCTATGCATTACCCTGTGATGGTCATTTGCTTTTGAGAAAGAGATGGGTCAGTGGTATTCCGGAAGTCGAGGATGTAGAACCCAAGGCTGTAGTATTTGGGATTCCATACTCGTTATGTCCACACCTGAACTCGGTCCTCAATATATATTCCATGGGTTGTGGTATAAGAAACGCTGTCTCTCGCTTCTACACGTACCACGATCCTGAGGAGCTCAAAGATGGATATGTTGATAAAGCCTTGAGGTGCACCGCCTGCCCTACCGAAGTGGTCATCGAAATAACTCCACGAAGGCTGTTCAATGGAAATTGCGCAGACGAGTCGAGGTTTCCGAGATCAACCTATGTCGTAAGCGTCTCCAGATACGTCGACTTTGGCAAATGTCAGGATCCAGAGGACATTGAATGGAAGGCGCTCACAGAACGGAGACCGGGGTTCTGGAGACGCCTCTTTTCGAGGAGGGATAGCGGGTCGCTAGACGGGGAAACAGCACGGCCGACGATAGACCTTACACACCTGAAACCCGTTTGCGAGAGATTTAATGCGCGTCTTCACGCGCCTCTGCTGTCCTCGCCGTCCCTCAGCAGTCCTACCGACCTTCGTCTGGCTATGCGTGATAGCACTGATGCACAACCTCCACCATACGCCGAGTAATCATAGTCAACAACATCGGGTCGCGAGAGTCCCAGCGAGCTGTGAACTGTGCCATGGGCGCATCCGGTAAGAAGCTTCGAAGGTGTCGGTTTCAACGAAACGCAGTACGCGCCTATCTTCGACCCAGGATGCCCGGTCTTGCTTCGCGCGAGTTGTTGCGTCTGCACTTTGGTGTGCGGGATCCATGAATGGTTGTGATTGAGAACCAGACCGCAGTCTGAGTCAAAGGCGCACTCTATTCTTTCTTTATGGTTGTAATTTGTAGCTTTAGAACGTGTCGCAAGAGGGTGTGGCATGAACGGATTGGCGCAGGCCCGTGATGTCTAGGGGCAGCATGCCCTCACGACTGTATGCGTGGGCGCAAAATAGGGCCATTTCGGTCGCGCATCGAAGCAATTAGTGTTCTTGATCAATACTTGAGTGTTTGAACGTCAATGCTGATCCAATAAGAGAAATGGCCAGCTCAATCGCACAGACCATCGGTACACCTTCCCTAATTCGGTGATGACGATGAGACGATTTCACACCCCCAGCCGTCCACAACGAAGACGGCTAATATGCGCCTTTTGCTCCCAACATATGCTTGTAGTCTCATTTGGCAGATCCTTACTTGAAGTACTCGCTAAGAAAGATTCCCGCTGCGCAATAACCCTTCTGAGAAATTACCACGGATGTCTGTTTACCATACAGAATAAGGGGAGCATTCGAAATGAATAGATACAATACTCGCGCATGTACTAAAATTGGCTCGCTGTAGAAGCCTGGAGACAGTATACGGAATTCGTACATCAAGTCTGTGTTTGCATGTCTGCCTACACCATCCTCATGTCTGAAACGCCCACTAACCGTTGGCTACATATAGATCTCGTGGACCCTGACCAGGCTGTTGGGGGATGAATCTTTTGAATTTGTCTCTTGCACAAGTCGAGCTTTCAGGCGATCAGTCCCTTCCACATGAGCATCGTCAGGTGGTGGCTGCGGGCCATCGACCACGTGGAAACACAGAGATGCGTCGACAAGGCTGACGTCGTCGTCTGTTTCCGGCCTGAAGATAGTGATCTTGCTGATGGTCTTTTGGCCAAGTTGTAATTTGTGCTGCATGAGAAAGTAAGCGAACCCAGCACCGTTTGGAGATCCTGGTTTGGGTTAGTCTTGATATTTGTCATCGGAGTTGAACGCGACTTGCCTAGCAGCGCATGGCCCTGATCCGTAGTGGTAGAAAAGTCGGTTCCCGGCCACTCGCTTAGTTCGGTGTTACGGTCGCGTAGACAAGAAGCGATGATTTGATTAGTCACCTCGTTGGAGATGGCTATCATGAAGAAGTAGCGAATGTTCCTGATATTGGGGTTGTTACGAACCCAAAATCCCCAGATGATGTCTGAGAAAGCGCGAAGTTGAGGTAGGTCGTCTTTGTTCGGCTCCTTCGTACCACCGCCCCAGATAGTCTTGGCGGATGCTTGAGGGCTTTCAAGGAAGAGACCATAGATAGCGCCTCCTTTGGTGTTGATTCCGAATTCAAAATGCGCCTTTGTTGCCTGTAACGCCGTCAGCATCTAACTACTGCTCATACCCAAGCCTATACTCACTCTGTATTGCTTGCTGTTACCTGCTGTGCTGTACCACTGATTGATAGCCGGGATCTGGTTGCCCTCATTATCTCTTTTCTCTGGGTCCCAATGCTCGACCCTATAGCACTGGTTATCTCCGCCTGCTGAAGTCGGCCGTCCGTCGAGACCAAGAGAGCGCATCGCATGTGAGAAATGCCAGTGCTCAGAAAAGCTGCAGCTGAACGACGATGAGCTAGTTTCTCGCCAGTACCAGTCCTGAAGCTCTATCTTGAGGTCACTATTGTAAGGCCTTGCAGCAGATGGGGGTTCGCGAGTATCTTTCATCTGACGGCCTGCGGTCTGATCAGAGCCTTCGAGACCACAAATCAGGGCGCCTCCTTTGGCTGCATTCTTGTTCCAATCCTCCTCCGCGGCATAATCATCGTCCCAGAAGGCCACCGTGGGGTGTAGTCCGTTGGGTTCACGGCTGGTCGAATTTGAA